ATACTTTTGTTCATATTAATTCTTATCACCTTTCATAGGCTTAAGGCTGCTTTTTTATTGTGGAAATCCCCACGATTTATCACCTTGCTGCTTTATACAAACAAATTAATAACTATTACGTTAAATTAAATTATGGCAACGGAATGCCAAGCGGTGGCGACACGACCCTTCCCTCTGACGAAATGTTTTTGACATTTGAGTCTACTACGAAACTAATGTCAATATCGAAATAATTTTGATCATTTCGATATTGGCATTAGTGTACAAATTTATTATTTATTTATTATTATTATTATTATTTTTTTTTTAAAAAAGACAACGCCCGCATTAGGAATAAATCCTGTGTCGCGGGGGACTTTACAAACATACATGAAACGGACACAAAGAACACCCAGACTCAGAACAACAATTTGTGGATCACACAAAGTGTCGTCCCATGTGGGGTTTGAACCCACAACACTCGGCGTAGTAGGAAGCGGCGTGGCGACCGCTTAAACCACTACGCCATCCGTGCAGTCATTATAGTTAGACTAACAAGTTTAGTGTTTAATAATATATTTGGCTTTGTTCTTTCATCGCTTTACTTTTTTATTAAAATTATATTATTATTTTCCTTTTGTTGCTAAAATATAATACTTACTTAATAATTTCTTAAACTCTCACTAACTTATTTCATATATTTTAAAAATATATAAAAAAAAAATTATTACATAAAAATTAAAAAAAAAATCTTCAGTACTTGGGAGATCTTTCCTTCCGTCTTCTTTATTTTAAAGTGTCATTAGCAATAGCACTAATAACACTAATCTAAAGATTCAGAATGCTAATGATTTATTTTGTTTTCTTAATAAACATTCCCAGTCCTATACGTTAATCTACCTTTTCCATTAATCTCTCTCGTATGATCTCAAAATTACTGTTTATCTTACTGCTAACTAAACTATTTGAGCAAGCAAGGTTTATGATCTATTCATCGGATAATTTTTTCATTTTACCCAAAATAGCATTAAACAGTTATCTGTTAACATCCGTTTCGTTGTTCGTTAAGAACACAATGCTCTTGTTTATTACAAATGTCTTACATTTTAATATGACAATAATTACTTCCTTTAATGATTCACTGCATGTTAACTGCGATATTTTTCATCTTGCTCGTCCAAAAAGCTTCCTATTTGGGAGTGTCACCGTTTGTGTGTACTATTTTTATCCGTTGCGCCATGCGCCGGCACGCGCTCCGACCTTTTAGCCTTATGATTTGTAGACGTTCTGATTCTGCTATTGATAAATCAGCTCATCTCTTCTCTTCATCTCAGCTCTTTCTATCTTTCTCTACGGATCTTGTCCAAAGTCGTTGATTTTGGAAATTCTCTAGAAACTGGCATACATACTATCTTTGAGACACATTATTTATAATGTTTCCGCTCTAAACATGTAACACTATTTTTGTTTAAAAGGGGTTTAATGTAACTCTTTAATATATGTTGCATGTTGGCAGTTGTTAGTATACTTCTAGTATTTCCATCGATTTACGTATATTAGAATAACTTTTTTTATATTCATTTTCTTAAAAATTGCTTCTATCCGATATTTATTGTATCAATAGTTTTGATGTTTTGAATAACTGCATTGTTTTTATATTCAATATATAGAGTTTTCTTGTAAAGACATGTTTAAACACTGTTTTTTTAATAATACTGCAATATAACAATATAGGTTACATTGTTCTAATTTTTTTTTCAATAATATCTGCAATAGTAATATTATGGTTCCGTTGTATATTGAATTTGTTTTATTTATGTCTGCCTTATTATTCGAGTAGTGGATCTAATACTTTTGTCGCATTTCGATCAGTAGGCTCTGAGATGTCCACTATAATTCTCTAATTATGTGATGTTAATTCCTTATTACTATTGTATCCGTATTCGCAAATAAAGGCATAAATGAAAATTATTATTTGTACTATTACTAGCAGACATTTTCTTTGTTACTTTAAATGTTACACTTATGTAAGTTAAAATCTACCCCGGTGTTTCTACAATTCAACAAATTCTACAAAAACAATCGCGCCTTAATTCTCGTTGTAATGCGTTAGCATGTTTACAACATAAGTATAAGTTTACAGCAAAATAATAATAGAGTGATCGGTCGCGTGCTTGCTTTTTTTTTATTTCCATCAGGTGACCCGTCTGCTCGTTTGCCCGCTAGCAAACGAAAAACGCTTATGGGACACCATGAAAGGCGTTGGTTGCATGACAGCAGGACGGTGCAACGACTCACCAGCTTTCACAATTGCATGTCTAATGAGATGTTCCCCTAAAGAGACATCTCTGGAAGTTGTCGGGAATCGCTGATAAAACTGCAACAGTCTCGTTTTACATATTATGTAACATAATTTCTATAACAAATCATTTTGTTGACTCTTTGTAAGTAATCTTGTATGGAGGTCAATTCTATTAACAATAGAACATTTTTAGAGGTCACGGCACCCACGCTTTTAGGATTTTAGTCGTAGTTACATGTTGCCGAATTTGCAAATAATAATAATAATATATAGTGCGTGGGTGGACGATTAAACATCGTAAGTAATTGAAAAGAAAAGAATGTTAAGTAGTATATTGATAACAGAAATTATCAAGTTCGTATCCTTTTAAACTTATCGTTTCACAACCAGACAGCAGCTGCTACTGTTACATTTTTTTCCGACAGTAGAAATAAATAAATAATGCGTAAGAGCCAACTCACATTGAAAAGTAAAATGCACGAGTAATTTAAAAATGTAAATAAAATATTAACCTCATCCCATTAGAGCTGAAAATCGAGGGCCATTAGTACGATCGGGAGTTGCCTGCCTTTGGCCAGAGAACTTTTAAGATGCCGGAGGGGTTGAGCCAGTCCATTATGTACTGATGCATAGCTTTCCCACGAAAATAATAAATAATGTTTATTTAACGGCGTTTAAGTTATTTAAAATGACAAACATTATACTATATCAAATTAACAATTACATGGAGTAACTCCGACATTCTGACATTGTCATTAAAAATTCATTTATGGATAATGTTCTTTATATTTCAATGTCACATTTTATGACATCATCTGGTATTAGTTTTATTATGAGATATTCACAAATGATGTAAAAACGTCTAAACCACTCGTTGATGGATTACAGCTTATACATAGACACATAAAAAGTAAAAAAGTTCTTTATACCATTCACTCCTGGCTGTTGAAAGGATCAATTCAACATTTAATTAATCATATGTCAAATATGTATATGTAGTTGCTGTAAGCATGACTAGGCACTCGGATGTTTTTGTCTATTGCATGATCATTGGATGTCCCTGCCAGATTTTATATACATTACATAGATTAAAAAAAGAAATTAACGGAAATAAACTACAGTTAGGATCAATTGCTTTCCCATGTCTTGATTTACAATACCCAAAGATACAGTTCGAAATTTTGTTATGTAAATTAAATGTTAAAGAGCTGCTGTCAGCAGTAGTAATTAGTCTTTTTTTAATTGTAAGCCTGGCCGTGTCTGTTACTAATACATGATGTCTGTGTTTCGAATGTTGGTAGTATTTTTTAACAGAAACTTGAACTGTTTTGACATTAATATTAATTTAACACCATTAGTCGAAAAATGTTTTGATCAGCTTTACAGTTTTTTTTTGTTTTGTTAACATTAACGTATTACGGATAATCTATCTAACATCTCAATAATAATTTACATACAGGAGTATCCTGTAGGTAAATTAATAAACTCCATTTATTATTTTGACACAGGCCTTTATTATAAACGGTTTTGTGTTGATGACCTCAAACGAGTGGCCTTTGTTTGGAATTCGAGAAACGTGGGAGAAATGTGACTATAAAAGTGGATGTTAATCAAAAGGTAGTTTGCAGAGATATGTTTTTATGTTGCCGTTGTATCAATTGAGGCGTTTACTCATCTGTGGCGGTCCTAATATATTATATAACGCGTATAACAAGTACGCAACTCTGTGGATGTCGTCATCGTACAATTCATCAATAATAAAGACATTGATTCATCAAACAACTAACACCAGCTTATTGAGTACATTATTGCTAATATGATGCCAATTTATGATAACTAAAAGAAAATAGATAATCTCATCGACCTGTTCACTGATGTTTTTCATTTTAACCTTTGTAATAACTTTTGTTAGTTTTCATGGTATTATATTCCGTTGACATGTTTATGTTAATCTAGTATTTTAACTTACACAACGACAATATTATCAAACGCGGCTAACATACTCTTCTTAATTGTAAATATCATCTTCCTCAGCCTTTTCTGGTACACCTCTGTACATAGGCCTCTCCCAAAATTCCAGCTTCTGTCTGCGATCTGGATCATCTTGCCTATCCCTTCTTATTTGTAGATTTTATTAATGGACAATACTCATCACTGTTAAATTCAAATAAAATTTATCATATCTCCAATAAAACTATCACAACATACATTGACAGATGATAGCGCACCATTCAAATTAGAACAAGGTCCCACTTTAGTTCCACTTATTGATCAGTGCGATCACAATAAGCGGACGTTGCCATAACTTGCCAGCGGTTCACAGTTGACAATAATTGTGACAATCGACAGCAGACAACTGGCTCAATGGACTCTTGGTAATATTCGCAATTATAACATCGTTAAGTTCGTTGACGACACGTTGGTATGACCGTAATACATCAACGTTCAATGCCGCTACTTTATATTTCTTTAATGGCACAATAAGAAAAACCTGTTGTCTTTGTATGTTATTGTTACACTAGGTTTTGCGATATCAAGTAATGTCCAGTACTGTAAAAGGTGACGTTAAAGTACTGGTTATAAATACAACAAAAGAAATACATTTTGAAAGCCCAGAATTCAGAATACGGAGAATATTATGTTTAGTTTAAAAATGTTGCCAAAACTTCAGGCATTGTATGTCATAACAGCTAATAATTAAATATTTTGATTGTTGCAGTCGAAACAACGGGCGTCAATTAAATGGCTGTTATCAAAGGCGTTTAACAACAGAGTCCCTGATAACCTTCAGGAGCCTTTCTACAGGGATCATGAGGTAAGAACTTATTGAAATAATTTAAGTACTAGAACAAATTCAATAGAGGGCTATTACAGATATTCCATGGTAGAAGAATAGAAATTGATTTGACGCGACGTATAAAATAACATTGTATGAAAATAGTCCCCATTTGATAAAAAACAGGCATGCGTTTGTGCTAAACAGGTAAAAGTGGACCAGATCGGATTAAACCACGGAAATTTCTTTTAAATAGTCTTCTATAGTTATTTAAAGGTTTTACGTGCTATCTTGTTTTATTGCATTAAATTTTGTTTTTATTCAATATGACGAACCACCACTTATTCTTCACTATCAAGTTTTTATAAATTAAAAGGATTTTTATGTTTGTATTGTGTCGATCTAGTTAACATATAAAATCCTCGTTCAAAACTTTACATAAAAGCTATTAAATGAATGTAAAGTATTCTCAGACAATATTTATTCTGGTTGTACGTATAATCTGTGATACGTTTATGCTAATTTAATTCAGTCCTTGACAACATACTGTCACTGTTATGGAATTCGATACAACTAAAGTTAAGAACTGCGATAGTCATAAATTGATCAGAGTCACGTGGTTTTACGAATTCCGTAAAAAGTAAAAGTGCTAAAAAAGTCAGGTTTAATTAAGAAATAATATTTATGAGAAATGGTACATTCACAATTAGAACTAACTGATATACGGACGCGGCTACTAGATACATTTCCACACTCAAACCGGGACTAGCTTTACTTACAAGAAAGAATGATAAAAAACTGTATAATTGCTTCAAAGTATGGGCAATATTGTCCAAAACCAGTTGCTTTCTTACGTAATTTTAGTGTCGTACAATACAGTACGGTCAATTCAAACAAAATAGGGTCCTTAACAGGGGCAATAGCTTCATGAACTTTAGATATGACCGCTTCAACTGCTTCTACTTATATATTCCAGATGCCGTGGTATTCAGCGATTTAAGCAAACTCAAACTTTCCTGATCAATTAAAATTTTCAAAACTTTCTACCATAAAATAAACTTGGAATTTGTAGGAAGAATTACTTTCAAATATTTTTTTGTGACTACATATATTGTAAAATAAAGATTTCCTGTTTCAGTACGTAATAAGAAAGATACTCGTACATGCATGACTAAATACGTAAAAAATCTTATGATTAGTTCTATCATCATAAATTATAAGTTTTATGCTTTAACTGATTGAAAAAAAAAACGAAGCTAATAATATATGTATACCCGGACGACATAAACATTACACATTTTATGACCATTATATTTTATCCAGGCCTTGCGTATAAAAAGGAAATGGGAAAGGCGTTTAACTCTAAGAAGCCTCACAATACTCAATATCCATATGAATTGGGTTAATACTTCCTACATTCCGACTTAGTCGTTCGATTGTAAAACAATCGACTAGGGCCTCAATTTTGATATTTTATGTTAACGTAAAAGCCACTGACATTCCATTGACACCTTATTGAGATGCCGTTGACATCGGTCAAAATATCGGTATTCTACTAACACAAATTCACAGTGTCAACAGACTGTCGATGTAATAATATTGTGACAATACTGATATCAACAACATTGCCATACCTGGAAAATTAAAAATACCGTTTCCTTACAAATTTTAAAAGATACTATTTACGAAACTTTGACTAAGACATAGACGACATTTGTATCAATGGCGGTTCAGTGACAAGTCACGGTACTATTATAATACAGTAGTGTAACTCGGCCGCATGATAGAAATAAATGCCTACAGCCACGCGGTACGTAAACATGCGTTAGGGCTGCCCGTCTCCAGCATTTTAATTATATTTGCCTACTTTCTGTTTCTATTTAGATTTGTGATGGTAAATATCCTTTTTATATAAATAAATGAAATACTTTGTATATTGAATAGGAAGTGTTCAATAAAAATGCGTGTTGTTTTTTGATTGGTAGATTTAATTATTTTATTTTCTTTCTGCATTGGAGAAGTTCAAGTTTCAATTTTCTTTTTCTTGGAGTGTTGCTAGAGAGAATCGTTGAGGTTTGTGCAAAGATTTCATTTTCAGTCTGTGTACTATTTTCATTTCTTACCAACGGAGCAGTTTGGGTTTGTTTATCTTCTTTTAGAGATACTCCTGAATCAGTACTAGCTAAGCTTGGCAGCATCAACAATGGTAGGGCATTCTTTTTTAAAAGTTTTCTATTTGATGAATGTAATACATCCTCCAAATTAAAATGTTTTTCACAAACTTGGTAGGAACTAAAGTTAGGTTTGTTTTCCAAATCATCTCGCCGGATGAGTTGCAACCATTGAAGGCGTCTGAAAAAAAAAATACATGTGACACTCTCGGAGACTGCCGCGGTAAAGGTATTGCATAACATTTTTTTTTTAAAGAAAAAAATCTGCGTGGTATTTTTCGTTAGGTTTTGAGAATTTTTTGATTCGGTCACCGCGCAGCGCCGCGCTCAGAGCCCGCGATAAAAGCTATGCAATAGTTTAAAAATCCTTCTATAGAATAAAAAAAATGTGCTTTCTCCTTACGCGTTACAAAACTCCAATCCTTAGAAACTCCAACACCTACCTACTCAACTAGAATGCAAGAAACAGCTGACGAGTAAGTAACTTTTTATCTCAGCTTATTAACGTCTCTATAAATTAGGTACCTACCTACAACTCAAAACAAAAATTCTTTGGTCACCAATTAATTAATTATTAAAAAGCTGAACAGCTGACTACGAATGTTTTAAAATCACAACCCTCAAACATCTAAATATTATATATGAGTCTAGCTGTTGTTGTTAATACCGAGAAAATGAAACCAGTTTTAGTGGTATATGTTGTTATAGTAGCAGCAGAAACACTTTGTGAAAATTTCGAGAACTATCTAATGACACACAGACGGTAAAAAAAAAATTCTAGTATTATTCATACACACAGATAATAAACAAATATTATTAAAAATAAAATACCACGTCTTTACTTTGAATTATGCAAAGTCACAAAACACACATGCACCGAAGTTTTAACACAAGCGTAAGTAGGTAGGTACCTACCGTATCATGATTCATTCAGAACCGCATATAACTACCTATTTCACTCGTCTCAATAACTTTCCGTTACTCTATTCGCTTTATTTATTAATCCAAACACCTTTTTTTTCGTAAAATAAAAGGAAATACTTATCCATTAAAAAGACACACATTATGTACCTACCTACTAGTAGGTAAAATTATTTTATAGTCTTACCTTTCAGAGTTTCCAGGTAATTTAAAAAAACTTATGTCTGGATGCGTTATTGACGAATTCATACAACCAAAAACAGCACAATATTTCCTACTCGTCATATTAACTGATTTTTAGAGAAAAAATCGCGCGGTTATTGTTAAAAAAACAACACACCGTCCGTTCGACACTGTGGTACAGCCGTGACTGTCTGCGCCCCGAGCGCACCCCGAGATCGAGGCGCGTAGGTATAGCTCGTGTTTCGTCCGTTTGTATGAAGTTGGAGTACTGTATTATAATTGTACCGTGGACAAGTCATCAGTAGAATACGAAAAGTGCAAAACTATTTTGACGACATTCAGACAATATTAAAATAGCAGAATTGAGGCTCTGATTTAAGGATTACATAATATTGGAATTGGGAATTTAGACTTGTTTAATCGTAAAAAACATTTTTTAGAATAATAATGTCTCAATAGTTTAGAATAAAAATGGTTTTGAATTTCGTAATTGCTATAACAACTAGAGATTGGGTGTAAGTATTCGTTCATACAATATCATCTAGCGTACCTATATAATATACCCTAATGGCTTGATTTATAAAAGCTGATGGTTTTAATAAGTTCTGTTTGAATGTTGGTTTAACTTTTCTCGCAAAAGGCTTTGGTCCTAGTCACCCTAGTCCCTAATTGGGGTAGCTGGAATACTTCCCTACGTCTTTAAACTTTTTTAAAGTACTATTCTGTTTGTAGTTATATTTATGCTCATGAAAAAAATAAAATAAGCGATCATGTCTTGGATGCATACTATATTTGCAATACTTAATATTTATATGCAGAATAAATGCAGTAAGTTGAATTTTTTAAGCAATGTATATGTTATAAAGAAAAAAATTGTATAAAAATATGCTACATAAAACTGGTCCACTAAATATGTTTACCTTTTATGGTACAAAAGTGTATACAATGACAGTTCAAATTATAGTGGTCTGTGAAATATAACCTTACAAAACGATCGAAATGCGCTTGCCAGAAGATCTATAGTAAAAATAAATCAATATTGACAGCAATACTAAAACGGAGGTGTGCTTTAAAAATCCGTTATTGAGATTAGTGCCGGATTTTGTATTTGGCAACACTGAACGTAACTAAAGACTTATTTGCTAACTGTGGTCCGTTTTATTGAAATACGAGATTATGTTATGGACTATTTATTCTTGCTCAATATGATTAAAGTGAATATCTTAAAATTTATATTCACATTTCTAGTGGATACTAATAGTCGTCGCATCATATTTATTTATATTTCAGTTATTATTAGTTTTTAAACACATAACTCTGACTTTAAAACAATAATTACAAATGTTGTTTAAGCAATAAATAAAAAAGTAGAATACAATATGTATCGACAATCGTTTCCATATAAAAATGGTCAGCCAAATTAGACCACTGTTAATAATCCTATTAACATAGAATCCTTAAATGGAATAGACAAACATTTGTTTATCGTACGTATCAAACTAATTAAATGTTAAATTGAATTGAAAAAAATGTATGTGTGTATATTGCTTTCATAGAATTTCTTATAAAACTCATCCAATGAGAAAAGAGAAAGAAAAAGAAATTGTACAATTAACCGTTATATTTAAAATAGTTCTTAATAATAGGTCAATGGACAATATCACCAAGATTTGTCTTATACTGTGTTATCGTTATCCTAATGCCGGCCGTAGCTTACAAAACGATTTTCTGCTTGAATAGAAATGTATTACTGAAAATGAATAA